TAAGTCATATATATATATATATATATATATATATATATATAATTTTTTTTTTTTTTTAATTTTTTTTTATAAATGCGTTTTAAATGGAAACGCTACAGTTTCAGAATGCACTCATAAATTTCCCTTGATTACTCAGATGTGGCCATTATTTCAATTTGCCTCAATGTGCGTTGATGTTCTCGGAGGCTCAATTTCTATGTTCTGACCCCTGAGTTTTAATACTGGTACTTATTGCTCTTTTCTCCATGAATTCTTGCCAATGGAGTAATACACCCTGGTTGAAATAAACTTTAGCTGGAATGACAGACAGGTTCGGAATCCATTCCATGTTTTATTTTGTACTTGAACTTCTCCACTCCTGTTTGGTTCTGATGTACCTGTGTGTTCTGTCGTGTTTGGTGTTTAAGTGTAAAGGTGCTGGACATTTATGACATGGACCTCGATGGGGTCGGTATCACTCAAGGTGGTTGCTTTTAAGGCAGTCAGATGATTATTATTATTGTCAGGTGATGGTGATGGGTTCTTTATGATATATAGTTATATACTGCTGAGGATTGTTGTTGTTGGTGATGAAGATGAAGATGACGATGATGATGATTTGTGTGTTTGGGTGAGAGCTGCTTTACACCCATCATTGTTTAAATGCGCTCTGATGAGCTCTTGAAGCTGGAGGTTCATGGAAAAATGTTTGTGTTCAATTAAAAAAATGGTAAAACCAGAAGCATTTCTGACTCTTCATTATGTTTGACCGACTTCATTATTAGTCCAACACTTCACAAGTGGCAAATGAGACAAAAAAAAGCTCTAAGTACTAGCCAGAGATCCAGATTGAAAATATCAATGACTGTTATTCAGGAAACCTGTACTTCAATTAACATTTTACCTTCAGGGGTTTAACTAGTAGGAAGTATTATTACGATTCTCGAGAACTTCGGCCAGTAAACCACACAAACAAATATGTGGAGCAGTGTTATTTTAGTATTATATATATATATATACGATTACAATATTTATTAATATTTTGAATTTTGTCAAGTCACCTTTATTTATATAATGCTTTATACAATACTGTGTCAAAGCAGACTTCCAATAGTGTCTGTGCAATCAGTCAAGCGTCCCCAACTAAACAAGCCAAAGGTGACAGTGGCAAGGAACCAAAACTCCATCGGTGACAGAAATGGAGAAAAAACTTAGGAGAAACCAGACTCAGTCGAGGGGCCAGGTCTCCTCTGGCCAGATGAAACCAGCATGACATGGTTTAATTCTAGGCTGCAACACAGGTCAGATTGTGCAGAGGACTCGTCTGGTTCTCGTGGTCTTTTGCCGATAGGTGACGAGGTCTTCACAGGGGATCTGTCTCTGGGGGCGCATCTAGGGCCTGTGTACACCTGGTCACTTCATGCGTTTTTTCTGATCGGATGGCTATCCGAAACGCATTCAAGACTGATATAAATCCGATCACTCAAACCACTTCAGGAGGAGGTGTGGGCCGCATTCCAGACGAAACTGGACAAGTGTAAATGCATCTGGTTGTTGAAACAACGTGTGTAAATTTTACTCCTCCCAAAATGTTAAAATAATAAACATGTGAGAGCGTGTTATAGGCTATATGACATTAGTCAGACTGCGCTAATGCAACACGCATAGCTGCGGACAAGTAGCTGAGTATCTCTTCAGCAAGCCGACACGCAAACTGCCGCAAATGAAACTGAAATTAAGACGCAGACGGTCAACACACAATAATCTTCATTTAAAGTAGTAAGACAAACTTATCTTTCCAGTGCTGATGCCACGCACTCTCCTATTGCGGTCTTTGATCTTGAAATGAGCTGATAATTAATAAAATGCAGCGCTTATCATTTGATTTCGTTGACGTGAGCGCAGTTAAATTTAAATATAGCACGGGAATTGAAGATCGGATTTATATCCGTTTTGCGAAGACACATTTATGTGGCCAAGTGTAAATGGAAACGTTTGAACAAATCAGATAGATATCCGATCAGCGAAAACACATGAAATGACCAGGTGGAAACAGGCCCCTAGTTAACATTATTTCCGCTGACATTCGTGGCTATAGAGGTCGTCTCTGATCCACCATCTGGTCTGGATATGGACTAGATCTGGGTGGCTACAGTGACCATCTGATCTGGATACAGACCTGATCCATATGGCGACCTCGGAAAAAATGAAATTTTATATATTTATATTTTCTGTTTACTATTTTAATGTTATTTTTAAAGCATATTTAGCTTTATTTTTATTTCAGTTAGTTGCCAAAATGGCATTTCTACGTTTTTTACCTAATATTTATATTTTATTTTATTTCAGCTTTATTTCAATGAATGATTTTTAATAATTTTAGTTTTAGCTAACAATAACAGCACTGAGGGGAAGCAAAATTATTGATTTGATGTCTGGCGTTTCACAAAAATAGTGGCTAGTGTATGATAATATGAGTGTAATACAATGACCTTTGAATATACAAAACAAACAGCTACTTAGAAATCATGGAAAATACTGTTACCAGTAAATTTGATCAAATAATGAAATATTAAATGTCATTTACCATTGGCAAGAAAGTTAATTTTGGACCCAGGTCCAATGTGGTCAGTATCTGAAATTATTTGCATTATGACTGTTGCATATACTCGGAAATATCAGTATATTACTGAAAAAAAACAAAACAATCTTGAGCAATTTTCAGCAGGTAAAACTAATTTCTTCCCTTTACACATTCTTCTCTTTTCCAAACAGCTGTTTATGATGGATCACAAGACAAAGCGAGCAATTGACAGATCGCTTTTAACATCTAAAAAAAAAATTATTGCGATTTAGCACTTAGTCCTTCAGATTGCAAATGGCTTGTGTGCGAGTAGAAGAATTGATTGTCCTTGCATTTTTAATGAAATCATTGCATCAACATGTGTCCAACAAGACGTAATGAAACTCTGGAGACTTGGGACATGGTTTATGGATCTTATATTGCACAAGTTTGGTTATTAAATGAAAGCTGCTATTACACAGTCACCTGCATCATTGCTGGATTACAAGCAAATGAGGCAAAGAACCGCGTTCTTTTTGGAAGTCGTGTGTAATTGTTTTAAGTATCCCTCAGGACAAGTGTCCTGTCAAACCTATAGACTTTATGGACGATGCACCTCTACAAAAAAAAGATGCTGTCATACCGATATAACTAGGTGTGGGCGGTGTGAGGTTTCAGCTGGAGGCCAGCTTTAAAATGAGACAAAAGACTGAAAGAATGCTGTCACACTGTCTTAAAGACACCTCGCCATCATTATAATGAAATGCTCACTTTCTCACACCTGTAAATGCGAGAATGTCACTGCAATGCTTCCGCTTCAAGGAAGTCATTACACTTTGTGGCTGACTAGTCTAGATAATCTAGTGAGCAACCTACCAAGATAGCATCATATGCGGTGTTCAATTCTGCCTAGATATCATGATGGGGCCTCATAGGCTGCTTAAAACATAAAAAAATTTTTTTTTTAAATGTAATAGTGGGCAACTCAATAGGTTTTCAGATTTTTGTAGGTTTTACTTTTTGTAAAAGTATGGTGGTTTTATGCGTATGGTTGTAATGGTGGTTTATGCATCACTTAAGCTATGCGTTGGTCTTTCTCTCAATCCTTACCCTTCAATCATTTTTTAACACATAATAGATGCAAACCCATAATGAATTGTTCATCCTATCTAAACTACTATGACTTTTTTTTAATAAGTGAATATGTTATTGCTAGTGCTATTTCAGTATAATTGAGATACTATTATTTCCGCTTCAAGGAAGTCATTACACTTTGTGGCTGACTAGTCTAGATAATCTAGTGAGCAACCTACCAAGATAGCATAATATGCAGTGTTCAATTCTGCCTAGATATCATGATGGGGCCTCATAGGCTGCTTAAAACATTAAAAAAAAATGTAATAGTGGGCAACTCAATAGGTTTTCAGATTTTTGTAGGTTTTACTTTTTGTAAAAGTATGGTGGTTTTATGCGTATGGTTGTAATGGTGGTTTATGCATCACTTAAGCTATGCGTTGGTCTTTCTCTCAATCCTTACCCTTCAATCATTTTTTAACACATAATAGATGCAAACCCATAATGAATTGTTCATCCTATCTAAACTACTATGACTTTTTTTTAATAAGTGAATATGTTATTGCTAGTGCTATTTCAGTATAATTGAGATACTATTATAGATTTTATTAATTCATTTTGAATATGTTATTGCCTTGTCAAGAATGAAATAAAATATTTTTAATATATTATTTCAGTTCATGTTAATTTAATTTATGTCTTTAGTTTTAGCTTCAGTTAGCCATTTTCCTAACCAGTGTTGTTATTGATTACTAAAACTAATTCAAATCATTTTAATTAATTGAAGTAAATCCGAAATAAAATATATTAGATTAAAACTTCATACAAAAAACTGAAATAAAATGTAAAAATAAAAGTTGAAGTACTAAAATGATTCAAACTTGAACTGAAATGTAAAAAAAATATTTACAAATAAATAACAAAAATAAAAATGATAAAAGCACTTAGTTAAACTAAAATTAGCATTGAAACTTAAGATATAAAAATAAAATATGAAACAATACTATAATAAATAATATTAATATAATGTTTAAATATAATAAAATATATTAGTTGAAAATTGCTAAAACTTCAACTGAAATAAGAAATATTTACACACACAAAAGATAAAAGCGCATAGTTCCCAAACAAATTTTCAAATTAAAACTGAAGATATAAAAATAAAAGCAGAGATTCACCTGCCTGTCGTGTGCATGTGTCTGTGCAAGTTCTTCTGTAGGATGTGTTTATGTGCTGTCAGCTGTAGCGTTTGCCCTGTGGTGCTTTTCCAAAGAGCTGAACAAGAGCTACAGAAGGGCCAGAAAGGAAGATGGGCTGATTAACAAAGACTTCTTCAGTTTCAGTGTACTGTTTCACATGCAGCTTGCCTCAAGACAGCACAGGGAGACCTCTGGTGTTGAAAGGTGTACTTCAAGAGCTGTAACCCCATCCAAGTTTCATTTTCCCCTTCAACTTTGATTACTCTTATTTTTACATGTTCGGTCATGAATTTGCTCTTCATAAACCTCCTTCCACTGAACCAATTCCAAGATGCGGGAAACTTTGGAATTTGATGAATGTGCTCATGACAAATAACCAGTGCCTTCAAGCACTTCTGTATGCATAAATACTTTATTGCATTTTTATTTTTTTATGTTAACTCTAAACGCCACTGCTCATTATGTCACTATTGTTCTGTGAAGCACAGCACCCCTCGGGCCCTATTCCTTTTTTAGGGAACCGTAAACTGGTTTTGGGTTTAAAATTAATGCAACAATCTCACATGAAACCAGCTGGTGCTCTCAAAACAGACAGATTATTTACTTTGTGAGAGAAATGCACTTCATAAACTCACGAATTCTTAACACATCTTCTTTGGCAACCTTAATTTGTCATCTTCTATCAGATTTTGCCATGCATAGACGATCCATCAAACGTGTTTGTCTTTCGTTGCACAGACTTTGACGGATCGGTCATCTCCTTTTGCAGTTTTCAACTTCATAAACCTCCTCTATCAGAAGTAACTCAGAGTTCACACATTTTTTCCAGATGAGATGGTGTTATGAAAGTCATGTCAGTGTTGATTTTTCAAGATCCTCATGCTAATTGAGATGTGTATATGGGCCATTCTACAGAAAACGTCTTGAAAAAAATTGTATGTATGCAAATTGTATAATATCCAAGGTACACATTTCTAGTAATTGTGCAGTTAATTCTCATATTGTATTTTCAGAAAGTTTTGGAATATTTGTCCTCTCCCCAAATTTGTCACTACCGAAACACAGTAATAATAATTTAATTAGAAGGGTTATATTGACCTATTAAGATTTTGCTTAAATCTACATTGTAAATATATTTTTTGCTATTGTTTTTCAGAGGTAAATCAATAACAATTACATTTTAACAATATTTCAAGTGTAATTAATGAGATTTGTTGTATTTTTAATCCAATTTTTCTTTGTAAAAGGTAAAAAGTTGATCATACTGATGTCAAAGTTAAGGATTCATTAGTTTGAATATACATTGAACATCATAACATCTTAGTTGATAATTCAGTATACTTTATTTTTGACAAAACATTCCATGTTTCAGTAGTGACTGCACATTTTCGGTAGTGACAGTAATGTAGCAACCACATCACATTACAGAATTTAAACTTGCATACTAAAACACAACTAAAACATACAAAAAAACTGCATGACCGTACTAAAATGTTGTTTATTTACCCCAAATATGAAGTATATGTGTTCTCTTTTGTCACTACCGAAACAATGATGACTTGTTTCGGTCATGACTATTTCGGTAGTGACAATTTTATGGGATAACACCCAAAAATAAAAACTAAGATGTCACTACCGAAACTCCACCAAATGTTTCAGTAGTGACAATTTTAGATACTTTTGAACCTATCTCAGAGATGCTAATCAGCACATGGTTAGCTAGCACAGTTCTGAACAGTTGTACACACATAAAAATTAAATATGGAATAACTCCTTTAAAAAAAAAAGTGTGCTTAATTGCAGTAAAAAGGTGTTGAGCATAAATGTAGTTAATTTCAGTCTCAGCCAGTGGACTAAAACATGCACTGTTTCGGTAGTGACATGGAAAATGCTGAAATGCTGGGTTAACGTAGTTTCATAAAGATAATATCAAATACTTTTTTGAACTTCACTTTTTAAAAGAATCAAAAATAAATTTTTGATCCCTAAATTGAAATTTAGGGATTAGGGTTCGGGACAGCCACCTCCCAATTGAAAGTTTCCAATAAATTATTATATACATACATTAAGCTTACTAATATTTTACATATTATTGCAGGTTTCAATATATAGAAGGATCTCAGTAAATATCTAAGATTTGAATACTTAAATGCTTTTTAAATGTGTTTTTTGGTTGTGGGACAGCAGTGCGGACCACTTCTGTAGAATGGCCCATATAGCAGCTTTTCAGAAACATCTTCAAAATATCTTCTTTTGTGGATATGGAATTCACATTACCTGTTTAATATTTTGGATTTAGCTTTATTATTATTATTATTATTATTAGGCGTCTAATCACTATCAAATGTTTTCATTTATCTTAATTTCCATATTTGCAACGTTGTGTGATTTTCAATTAAATATTTGACCAATAAATGATCTCGTTTTTCTCCTCTAATCCTCACTCACGAAGACTGTTGGTGATATCACGCGAGTCTATCATTTTAATTAGTTTCATTTATTTGTGCAGCTTGGGCCCCGTATTGTTTCCGCTCCTCTTCTCCTCCAGTCCAGCGGGGGGCGCTGCCTGAGACACAAGTGATTGTTTGGTCATGATGCTGGTTTAATGCACACTGTTAGAAATGCACTTTCTGTGTATAGAAAAACACAGTTTCTGAATCAGGTCAGTGTACTATTCTCATCCTCATAGTTCTGATAAGTTTCCAAGCCAGCAGGAGTATGAGCTCTGCTGCTGTGGAGATGGTGTTTGTGAAAGAGGAGAGTGAACCAGAAACATGCAGAATAATAAAACTGGAGGAACACGGAGGTTGGTCTTTATGCTTCATCCATCTTTAATGACTGTGTGTGGTTAATTACAGTAACTAGCACAGCTTCAGACACCGGGTGTCTGCAGATGCTTCATGTACAAATAAGACTGTAAATGTATTAAAATGTCTCGTTTCAAGTTTCTTATAGAAATGTGACTGAACTGACACCGATTTAATTATTAGACTTTATTTTCTTTTACTGTAAGATAGAGGGGAAGAGTGGGGGAAAGCGCCCCCCCTTAAGGACTGTGTTACTGTTTTTCTGTGCAATAAAAGATACAAAAAAACTGCATGACCGTACTAAAATGTTGTTTATTTACCCCAAATATGAAGTATATGTGTTCTCTTTTGTCACTACCGAAACAATGATGACTTGTTTCGGTCATGACTATTTCGGTAGTGACAATTTTATGGGATAACACCCAAAAATAAAAACTAAGATGTCACTACCGAAACTCCACCAAATGTTTCAGTAGTGACAATTTTAGATACTTTTGAACCTATCTCAGAGATGCTAATCAGCACATGGTTAGCTAGCACAGTTCTGAACAGTTGTACACACATAAAAATTAAATATGGAATAACTCCTTTAAAAAAAAAAGTGTGCTTAATTGCAGTAAAAAGGTGTTCGGTAGTGACGTTCGTTAGAGTTACACACAGATTTTTCAGACTTTTGAACACATTTACTTCAAATTGATGGGCCTGTCTTCTCACCCTGTAGCTATGAGAGAGAGAGAGACATAAATATTTCCTGAGCATAAATGCAGGGGTGTAGTTAATTTCAGTCTCAGCCAGTGGACTAAAACATGCACTGTTTCGGTAGTGACATGGAAAATGCTGGGCACATTTTTTAACAGTTTCATAATTTACAAAGAAAATATAAAATAAATGTTTTTTTAACTTCACTTTTTAAAAGAATCAAACTGATATTTTTTTTTGTTTCTTGATATTGTCTGCCAAATCGGTTTGTTGAGCGCACTGGACACCGTTCCCAGGACAGATCCATCGTGGCTCACCATACACAAACCCAGCCATGTGAACGCCGCAGCTGTTGGGTGTTTTTTCTGAGTCAACCAGAGTTTGAGACATATGCATTAGCCCAGGGCCTAAACAGTCCTTTTTCTCGCCTGTCTGTGTTTTCACTTGAGTCAGGCTGTCTTCTGGACGCCTTCATCCTGAACAGGCCCAGGCTCCCCGTCAGGCTCAACAGGACCACCACAACAGGAAGAACCCAGGAAAACTCATCAGTGCTGGGAAGGCAGGTGAGAAGATAGCCACCTTTTTCCCAACAGGTTTCCACTGAGATCCAGTCATGGCTGCTGTAGATCCCGCTCACGCTCCAGGCTAGAAGACATCCGAAATAGCCAATTCTCATAGAGAGGGATTCACTTGCATCTTGTCCCTTTATTCGCCCATATTGAGAATGCAGCAGATCAACCAACAACTCCACAGCAATCAAAAGTGGCATCAGCAGCAATACAACACCGTAGGCCTGGCAGAGCAAGAGCAGGAATCGAAGGGCGATGACATCCGAAGACACGTAAAAAGGCGTCAGAGTGGACTCCATGAGCCAGATGTAGAGCAAAAACACTGGAGGAAGAGAAAAGAGGCGTTAATGGGATAATTCACCCAAAAATGTAAATCTGCTGTTAATTTACTCACCCTCAGGCCATCCAAGATATAGATGATTTTTTTTCTTCAGTAGAACAGACCGTGGTCCTTGGTGATTCATAACATGCAAGTCAGCAGCTGCTCATTTTTGAGAATTAAAAAAGCATCAAGGAACACAATATGAATACCTGTGGCTCCTGACGATTTATTGAGGTCTTATGAAGCGAAACAATCGGTCTGTGCAAGAAACTGAACATTATTTAGAACATTATTACCTGTAATCCAGAGCCTCAGGCAAACCGGGAGATCAGATTATTTTCCGCAAACTGGTTCTTTCAGGCAGTTCGTTTTAATGAACTGGTTCAATTCACTAGTTTGTTTACGTGATCACGCAATGACGTAACGTATACGCATTTACATTATTAATGCACCCAATAGTGATGTGAAACGTGGATGTTTTACATGTCTAAAGCATATGAAGTGAATAAACTTGTCTTTATCAGCTCACTTTTTTCATAAACAATTAGAAACCATATAAACTTTCATTTGGCCCCTTCATTCAAATGCTCGCTTATCAGCGGCTCATCGGTCTCCGGTCTGAGTCGAACTGTTTTCTGTTTAGTGACTGTTGCAGGAACTGGAGCGCTGAATGAGTTCATAACAGGATCTCGTACGCCGGTATTTTGGCTCATTTTGAATCCAAGTGACTGTCAGGCATCCGAAAGTGAGTTTTGACTGAGTAACTTGCAGATCTGTGCTGCTCGAGCCATTAACTGTTTTCAGATGACTCAATCTAAACTAGTTCACCAAAAATAATTAGTTCAAAAAAACGAGTCGTTCGTGAAATGGACATCGCTCTGAACCTTTTGCCTGAGGCTCAGATTACAGGTAATAATGTTGTGAATAATGTTCAGTTTCTTGCTCAGACCGATCGAGTCGCTTCATAAGACCTCAATAGAGAGGAGGCTCCTGTGTTCCTTGATAAGTTTTTTTTTTTATTCTCAAAGTGCCGGTAGCCGCTGACTTTCATTTTACGAATCACAGAGGACCACAGTTTCATCTAAAAATCTTCTTTACTGTTCCACTGAAGAAAAAGTCACCTACATCTTGGATGGCCTGAGAGTGTGTAAATTAACAGCAACTTTCCATTTTTGGGTGAACCTTTAAACTGATAAATTAAAGGGGTCATATGATGCTGCTAAAAATAACATTATTTTGTGTATTTGGTGTAACGAAATGTGTTTATGCGGTTTAAAGTAAAAAAAAAACACATTATTTTCCACATACTGTACATTATTGTTTCTCCTCTATGCCCCGCCTTTTTGAAATGCGTCGATTTTTACAAAGCTCATCGGTCTGAAAAAGTGAGGTGTGCTGTGATTGGCCAGCTATCCAGTGCGTTGTGATTGGCCGAATACCTTAAGTGTGAGACGGAAATGTTACGCCCCTCACATACTGTGGAAAATGTGGGCAAAGTTTGTGGTTCTGCTTACTGGTGACAGCAAGGTCTGTAAATAACAGCAGGCAGCTGCAGCACAGACTGACCACAGTGATGGTGTGTGTGACTACAGACGAACACAGCAGCATGCTGCTCATCAGTTTGCACACACACAGACAGAGTGTAACATCCAGAACACTCTCCATCTTCACACTTACAAGAGACATAAAAAATACACTTGATGTTTAATTTAAGAGTTGTAGTGCACAGTCTTTGGAAGGAACCTGATGATAAATGCACAAGATTTGAAAGTCAGGTGGTGTAGGACTATATTCTAGCCCCAAGAGTCGTTTATAGCCAATATGAAATCAAACTTGACCCTATTTATTTTCTTAAAACATGTTCCTGGTCTTATTATGGAAGAATGTTTTATCAAAATTAACTTGTTCCACTTCTATAACGTCTTTCCATTTTGGATGATGTTACCAAGGACGCCAACAATGTCTGTCTGTGTGTGTGTGTGTGTGTGTGTGTGTAGGGACTATTTGATTAAAAAAAAGTTAAAAATATTGAAAGGCAGTAAGTGACATTACCAACATCTGTCGTTCAGCACTTATAGTGTTTTTTCACCATTGTTGTCAATTAGTTGATTTAAAGTCCCCATGAAATCAAAATTAAAGTTTTTTGGGTGTTAGTATCAATATGTTCAGCCTGGTCTCATGTTTATACGTAGGTATAAATACGTAACATTTACAAGCACAAAACGTACACTTTTGTACGTTTTTAGTCATGCTAAAACGTACAATTTAGACGTATTTCAACGTTTAAAACGTACAAATCGCTACGTATTTTTAACTAAAAAACGTAAAAATATTTACGTATCTTTTATATCATTTAGATATTCATATCAATGCATTTTTATCATTTTATTAATAAGCGATTTCGATTTTTAGACCCCTTAACCTACCTCCAAACCTAAACCTACCCAATTTATAGCGATATATATAAAGGATATAAAACGCAAATGACCGAAATCCACAGGAAAATAAAACTTTTAGTAACAATATAGCATTAACATATTTATAGTCGCTAATTCCACTCCTACCTATAAGCCTAAACATTTCTGGACAGTATAAGAAACATAACAGACAGATAAATGCAATTAACGTTACAATCATTTATTTATTGCAAAAATATCAAAAGCAGCACTAAAAGTAATCCAAATGACGATACGTTGCACCCGCAGTCCTCTCTGGCGGAATACAGGCACGAGTCGGCGCAGACCACAAAATGTATCAGAGCTATTTGAATTCTACACAGCATGCTATATTTTATAGCAACATGTATGAGATTGTGGCTGGCATACTCTGTCAAATGCGGCTTTACGGAGCTCAACAGCTCTGAACGGCTCTAGCCCAAGCTGTGATATAAACGAACGCTATTGGCTATTTTAAAAAGGGGCGGGGCTGCTTGATATGTCGCGCCCTGTCTTCCTGTTTCAGTTAAAATGACGTCAACACATAGAGTAAAGCCCCGTTCACACCAAGAACGATAACTATAAAGATAACGATATTAGCGTCCACACCAGCGAACGATATCGTCTGTTTATTCTAAGCACACATGCGTCTGCCGCTTTAAATTCTTGAGCTCGTTACAGCAGGATGGATTCTGATTGGCTGTCAAGTGTTTTTTCGTTCATCAGCTGGACAAAAATCGTTTTGAAAGTGATCACAACGATATCGTTCCTCTGTATCGTTATCGTTATAGTTGTGGTGTGAACTATGCTATTCTTTAATATTGAGAACGATTTTTAGAACTATATATTTATCGTTATCTTTATATTTATCGTGCTTGGTGTGAACGGGCCTTAACGCTGAGTGTTTCTAAGCATTTCAGGGGACCTTTAATCATGTCTCACACCTTCTGTATTTGTTATATGAGTTTTATTAGTTCAAATCCAAAGTCTTGTTTAATGATAATAATGATAAAAAAAAAGATATACAGTGGGTACGGAAAGTATTCAGACCCCCTTAAATTTTTCACTCTTTGTTATATTGCAGCCATTTGCTAAAATCATTTAAGTAAATTTTTTTTCCTCATTAATGTACACACAGCACCCCATATTGACAGAAAAACACAGAATTGTTGACATTTTTGCAGATTTATTAAAAAAGAAAAACTGAAATATCACATGGTCCTAAGTATTCAGACCCTTTGCTCAGTATTTAGTAGAAGCACCCTTTTGATCGAATACAGCCATGAGTCTTTTTGGGAAAGAGGCAACAAGTTTTTCACACCTGGATTTATTTTCTGTAATATAATTATATAAAAGCTTTTTCAACACACTGACTTCTCAACATGAGGAAAATCAGCAGCATTTGGTTATTTACACAGCCATGTCCTAATTACAGGGCCATCACAACCTGATTGACTCACTCACCAGAAACTACAGCTTGAAGTGATGTAAGGCTGAAAGATTAGACCGGAGCTGAGGCTCTAGGAAAGAAGCTATGCTGAACATCAGCAGAGACTGATCCCTACCTGAACACACCAGCAGCCAGTCATTCAGTGTCTGGTCACTTCTCTGTCTGAGTTATCAAGTGTGTGTGTGTGTGTGTGTGTGTGTGTGTGTGCATGCGCGTTTTTGTGTCAAATGGGGACATAAATTTGTATAATGACAAAGGTATGACATAGGTATTACAAGGAGAAGGTGACTTTTCAGGACATTACCCCATGCCCCCACTTTTCAAAACGCTTATAAATCACACAGAATGGAGTGTATTGAAAATCTGAAATAGCAGAAAGTTTCCTGTGAGGGGTAGGTTTAGGGGTAGGGTTGGTGTAGGGCAATAGAATATACGGTCTGTACAGTAGAAAAACCATTACGCCTATGGAGAGTCCCCACTTTTCACAAATGTAAACCTGTGTGTGTGTGCATTTCTCCTCCCCCTCCCCCAGTGGGACGTGTCTAAACATTACATTACATTAGACTCAAAGCACGTGTCTGTGTAGAGGGAGTGTCAATGTTTGATTAGATCTCTCACAGAAACCAGTCCATCTGCTTCCTCCACGACCACAAGTGTTCCGATGTGCGCATGCGACTTCCTAATGTAGTTCTCGTGTCGCTGATGGCACACGGCACGCTTCAGTGAGCTTTATTTGACTGACAGCACGGTCAACTCTTGCAGAGCTCCTGCACGAACAGTCTGAGCGCGTGCTGCCATCTACTGTTCATCTGAGAGAACGCAAAACAACGAAGATGTGAAACTAACTAACAAAAGACACAATACTAAGAAAGGGAATTATCCATAAACAGTAGTATTATAGCTTAATTAATTATTATTTACTATTATAGCTATTATATATATTATTTACTATTATAGCTATTATATTACTATTATATATAAACTATTATAGCTATAGTTTTTGTATTTTATATTTTCTGTTTTTGTGTTTTCAGGTTTCCTTGTTTTTTTGTTAGCGTTGAAAAATATGTTTATATACTTTTTAATTTGCGATTTAGTTTTAGTGATTCAATACATAAAGTTAAACCAAACAGAAATGTGAAATGTTGTCTGAAAGCTGGCTGAAATAAAATAGGTTTATGTTTTTTTTTCTATGTCAAGTTATAAGAATATATAAGTATATTCAGTTTTAGTTTGAGTTATTTTAGTACCTCAAATTAAAACTGAATGGAAATGAAAAACATTGCCTTGACAACTATAGCCAAAATAAAATACTTTTATTTCTATTTGATTTGATTTCATTTAAGGTCTATTTTATTTCAAGGTTTTAGTGAACTATAATAACCCTGATCAAAAATGAATATTTACTTTACGTGATTAACTGGAATAGGCAGGCTATATATGAACAAGACACAAACATAATATAATATTAATAATAATATTGTACTTCAAGTCATTTATACTGTTGTCTTTGCAGTTTGTATATTGTATTGTAAACGTACACAACCAGTCAATGTCAACAAGTTTAATCATTTTAAACTATTTGTGTTGCTCGTCATTATAAACCTTTTCATTTAAAATCTTATGTTTAAATGATTGAGATTTGTTTTGTAGACACTTACAGGTGAAGTACACACACTGTGTGCTCACTTCTGTGGGATACTGTATGTATATATATATATGTGTGTGTGTGTGTGTGTGTGTGTGTGTGTGTGCGCGCGTTTTTGTGACAAATGAGGACATATATATAAAATAAATTTGTATAATGACAAAGGTATGACATAGGTATTACAAGGAGAAGGTGACTTTTCAGGACATTACCCCATGTCCCCACTTTTCAAAACGCTTATAAATCACACAGAATGGAGTGTATTGAAAATCTGAAATAGCACAAAGTCTCCTGTAAGGGGTAGGTTTAGGGGTAGGGTTGGTGTAGGGCAATAGAATATACGGTCTGTACAGTATAAAAACCATTACGCCTATGGAGAGTCCCCACTTTTCACAAAAACAAACCTGTGTGTGTGTG